TTCGTATCGCACATGGGGAATGTAAAAGAGTATTTTGCATTTTAAGACCTTTCTCATAAGTGTTCTGTGCGAAGGATAAAGAAATTTGTTAAATGTCCAAGGAAAATGCTAAGTGCAAGTGCTTCATAACCTCATTTCATACTAATTATACCTTGATTAGCTTAATAAAAATTCCTATTGATTCAATTTTATGAAGTATTAAGTTTTGTTGCAAAACGCACTTTAGAGAATTTTGCATAGCCTTTCGATAATAGTCTTTTCATGATGTACATTGCTGGAAGTGGACTTTATACATGTAAGAAATATCAGTGCCATATTATGATTATAACACTTCTTGGAAAAATAAAGATGTTTTCTCTGTTAACATCAGCTGTTCTTTTTTTCAAAAACTCTTTATAGCCAAAATTGTATGTTTTATTTCTGCAGAGAGAATGGGCCAGAGGAAGTCTCGCCTTAAGCCTCAGGGATCCAGAAATGACAGCATTGCTGCTGATGATGGTGATGGTGGTGACGATGAAGAGGATTATGATGAGGATGAAGAGGATGAAGGTGAAGAGGCGAGTCAGGAGATGCTTCAGTTCCACAGGGGAAAAGGTGGAAACACTTTTACTAAACTTCTGAAAGAATGCTTCAGTGCTTTTCACTGAATTGGGAAGATTGGGAAAACCTGTTAAAACAGGTGGAGTTGTATAGATTAATAGATGAGGCTTCTTGCCAACATCCACATCCTTCATTTCTGCTCTGGGCTTTTTAGGGTATTTATATTTACAGCATTTGGTGTTCGTTTAAAGAGATGGGTCTTCAGTCAGTGTTTAGACCGTGAAGGACTGCTGTTTAGACAATTAGTGGACGTTTGTGACAGCACTCAGTCTTGATGCTAGTCTTTAGTCTTTTAAATTCATTATCATTCATTGTACATGATAAAACAATATATATTTTGTAAAATGGAACATTAAATAATATTTAACCTAAAATTATGATTATGATTATTATTATTATTATTATTATTATTATTATTATAGTCTTAGCCCAGCTTTGCATTGATCAGAATCAACACCTGAAGTTCACTGAACATAAACCAAACATACATCATTTTTTTTATATTACATGAAAACATAGTAATAACATTCTGATCTGCCTTCAAGAGACAAATGATATACAGTTAATTCATCATATAAATGATCAATTAGATCCTCAACTGGCAGAGAACAGATTTTATTTAAACATGTAGAGAAAGTAATGTCTGTTTGAAGGTATTTTTGATATTCCTTAATGACTGGAGACAAAAACAGAGTTCAGTTTGTAGTCACCCCAGACAGGCATTGCCTTGGCTGGTCTCGAGAACAGTTACTAGGTCTACCTTACCTCGAGACCATACGTTTATTTATTTATTTATTTATTTATTTATTTATTTTATTTTATTTTATTTTTTTATGGTGCTTAAAGTGACCTTTTTTACTTTTAGTTCCTGTCCCTTGTCACATTTAGCACAATTCTCATGTTTAAAAGAAAATACTCTTCTTTTTCTATAATCTTCAGATTTTTGACTACAACACTATACACCAGATAAAATGTCTGATTGTAAACATTTTAGTACATGAAAATGTTGTAAAGGTGTTTTCCACTTTTGTTCCATCTCGTCCTGCATTACTTCAAAATCAAATAATCGTAAAGAAAACTGTGCTCGATTTTCACACAGTCAATGAAAGTTAAACCATCTATCCAACAACTGATAAATGTTAAACAGTGCTGCCAACTAGGAGATATGGGCATGTTAGCTTTAGCTTGGCTAGCATAACAGCTCTGCTCACCACTGAACATGTTAAATCCTGGCTAAATAACTGACACAAGTTTAGATGATAATGATGCTGATCTGAGGGAGAAGCCGAGTGACTGGCGTTGAAGGAACAGAAACTGTTCTGTGGTGTTTGAATCTGTGCTTAGCGTTAGCTTAGTGAGCAGGCTACAGACACACGGTGCCCCTGCGCCACAGTACAGGTCTGATTCTGACTAACTGCCGCTCTACTGGATTAAAAGTAGATGATAAAAACTGATGTTGGAGAGAGTAAAAGTCGAGTGACCGGTGTTGGAGTGACACAAAGCAGGCATCTACCTTGTTCTGTGGTGTTTGGGACTGTGGCATTTTGACGATAGTTTAGTTAGCAGGCCAAGCAAAACACCACAGCACAGGCTTGGTTCCAGCTAACTGATGCTAAAATGCCCATTCGTTTTGGCGGATTTCTGAGAAGTTGAGTGACTGGTTGCTATAGTGAAAGACAAAATTGAACATATTCTGTGAAGCTTTTCGCTGTTGCTGTGCTGCCATCACGGTTAGTTATTCTGAGTTATTTCATTTCTCTCTTTCTATCAGTGCTCCCAAACCACCAACTGCTGAGCTCCTCTAAGATATCAATGGGTGGAATATGTTTATTTGGCCATTCAGATGTGGAAAAACTTTTAAATATAGTCATCATTTTTAAATAATGTGGTCTAGCTTATTACCCTTATACCGCCCAACCCCAATGCTGTATTTCTTACCGAAGTGTGGTACGAAAGAATGATTTCCAGTTCACAATGACAAATTTAACCTGTTGCATTTTCCTGCTTTACAGGGACTACGAAAAGAGGTGGTGCGAGATGCTAGAGTCAACAATGCACAGTGTCAGCGGTGATCTGCCACGGGACAACATGGAAAAAAGCCAAACACTTATTTATTTTTGTATTTATAGTAAACAGTGAGGACTTTGAGTTTTGAATAGTCCATTGCTTAAAGTTTACAGTACAGGCTACTTCCTAGAGTCACTAACATGTTTCACAAGTAAATGCAAATCACAATGCTGGATGCTTTTGAAGTTGTGTTGATATTAAAAATGTTGCAGTCCTCTTTTTGGAACAATTTGATACACTTTCTTGATCAAGTGACTTCAGTGACTATTAATTTATAGAACATAACACCAGTTAGACCTTTCATTCAGCCAGGAAAATGTCATTTGTACAGGTTTTTTGCACATCTTTTGGAGGAACTGTTTACATGGAAATAGGGTATAACTTGGATACTTTAAATGCTTAGTTGGTGTTTCTGCATGTAATGAATTTCATACTGATTTGTTCAGATCCACTGATATTAAAATAATTTTCTATGTAAGTGGTTGTTTTGTAAAAGCAAAGATTTTGTGTGAGAGGTACTGCATGTCAAAAGATCTAGCTTTGTAAAATTTTAGTACAAATGGTGTGTGTGTGTGTGTGCGCGTGTGTTTATATTTATTTTTTATATATATATTATATAATATGGACTACATCTATCCTCCTATTCAGCGTAGAGCACTTTGGTTCCTTTCATTCATGCTGAAGTTAGAAGGAGTGTTTCAGTCTGGACAGCTTTTGAGGCACGACACAGGGTAACCAGTCAGAACAGAGCTCATTTACATATCAGTCATAAAGGCACAGTGACAAAACCAACCAGTTTAATTCTAATGGATAAAAAGAGGTTGGAAAATTGGCCTGTAAGAAGATTTATTACTGTTTTTGCTACATGAAACCATACAAGCATTAGAAGTGAACCTCAGGAAAAGCAATAAAATGGCAGAAAAGTGCTGTATGGTTTGTTTAATGAGCAGTTTTCTCTTATTTTGGTCTAATATTCTTGCATATGTTGGAAACCTGTCTGTTCTTAATATTGCACAATATTGCAAACTGATCATTGAAAAGCTAGACGTACTTCTGATGAGCAGTGTACATCCTGCAGCCTTTCTGTTTGTGTAGTGTTGGGATGAGAGTGCTTTAGACCATTATGATCCAGCCTGGGATAGGTTCTGATGTAGCAAGGGAAAAAACATCTTTGGTTTGTGTGGGGTATTTTGGTGAGGTTGCCAGTCTTATAGGCTCTGTGCTGTGCATCTGAAATAAGTACAAACATATGCAGAATTTTAATACCTCAGCTTGTGTTTGATTTTCAAAGTGAACACATCTATACATAGCTTTTTTGCACACTTTAGTGCACAATTTCTATATATTTGTAGATTTGATCATATTGGGGGGGGAATATAAAAAAAATGTAAAGTGGGCCATAACTTTTGCACAGGGCCCATTTGATGTTTTTTTCAGTATGTTAAATTCAGTAAGTAAACAGAAATTGTGCATAAAAATGTACATAAAATAACCATTTCACATTATATGTAATGAGGTAACCATTATTGGTTTTGTTTTAGGACATCAGTGTGCTAAATTAAGCCCTATCCTTTGCTAATTTCTCCCAGCCTCTTTCATTTGAATTGAACCTTACTAATAAAAGGTTTTTTGTCTTAATTTTCAATGATTATTTATATTACCAATGACATTATTTGTCACGTAGTAATTAATGGGTTGGTTTCCTGTGCATGGATTAAACCTATATTATAATATTGGATTATATTGCAATGCCATGTCTAGATTAATGCATAATCTGGGTCTAGAGAGACAGCCTTATTAGTACTAGCCTTACTAGTATTATTGCTATGGGAACTATAAGTAAAAAGTGTAGGTACAATTATTAACTGTTTATTCATCTTGTAATTTGCTGTGCATGAGGAAATTTGAGGCACAAAAAGCATACAAATGAAAAAGTTTTTCAAAAATATTCTTGTTCATTCTTTCATTACCTTTATTCTACCAGATATGATAACTGAATGTACAGTGTCCTATAATAACAGTCATATAAACTCATTTTATTGTGTTCAAATTAGATTTTTCATGAGCAGAATTACACAGAAAATAACAGATAAACCCATTAAGTTGAAAGAAAAGTACAAATCGACAAGATTTTGCTAAGGCTGTAAGATTATCCATTTTCCTTATAAGTCACTTCACAGTGCCAACTAGTGGTAGGTAGTTGCATTAATTGGAGCTGTGGCCATTCTGATTGGTTGCTGTTTGATTTAATTCTGGCCAATCAAACTGCTTGTGGAAGCCCTTAATTGTGGTGCATCTTGGTGACTTATTTAAACTCAGGTCAGGGAGCCATTTTGTTTTTGTCTTTGTTTGAGTCGTGATCTGTTCATGTAAGTGTGATATTGCTGAGACTCTTATGTAGCACATTAATGTGATGTTTTGTGAATGTTTAGACTTTATCTTCTTGGTTACATGTGCTTTGTTAGCTTAAAGCTTACATAAAGTTGTGAAAGTGCTAACAATTAGCTTCCTGTTTTCTCAGTCTTTCTTTTACCTCAGGAAAGACAGCAGAAGGTATGGTTGTTGCTGCTCCCCAGCACCCAGCAGGAGTAGGGCCCCAAGCTGAGAATATTCCTCATGGACCCCCTCCTGTGCAGGGCCCTAGACCCCCTGTTCCTGGTTCCTTTAGAGGGCCATACCCAGACCGCCAGCAACAACAGAATGGCTGGCCTTTCTTTTGTGTCCCACCTTCACAGCCCTACCTGCCTTACCAGTGGCCCATGCCTGTGCCTTATGTTCCTTATGGTGGCTTCCCTGGGATGGGTATGTGTGCTTTGTCTGTTTGGCCTTGATGCACAGTTTAGGTCAGTGGTGTCCAGTCTTATCTGCAAAAGACCTATGTGTGCAGGTTTTCATTCTGTCAAAGCAGGGGCACACGAGTTCTTTGAAGACTGAACAATCCTTTTGGATAAGACTGGGTGCCCCTGGTTTAGGTGTTTTCAGCTAGATGATTTGCATCTTGAACCGTTGTGAGCAATTTTTTGTTGCTTTGGTTCTGTACTCCAGCACATTTTGCATTAAAAGAATGATTTGACAAACAGAATTCCCCCTTTCTCTAAAAGTACTTGCTCAACCAAGACTTGACTGGTGTCTGAGGTTTGCTTCTTTAGTTTTTCATTGCAAGTATGAGGCTAACGTAGCTTCAAGTAACAAAGTATTGGAGAGTGGGCCACACCCTGAACACTTGCATATCTAATAAGAGGCCCAGATGTGGTAAATTTGTTTTCAATTACTAGGTTGAGGAAAACTGCATGGTAAAACTGACTTTGATATCTGTAGTATGTTTTTAAATGAATGTGACTCCCTATACTGCATACCTGCCTCAAAATGAAGAGTTCAGTAATTTTAGTTGGACTTGGTTTCTTTAAGTGGTGTGATGTAATGTTACCTGCAAAAATGGACAAAAGTAGTTGATATAACTCAACCTGGGTTTTTAGCTGTGCTTTTGTCTGCCTCTATAAATGATGGTCATAATGTCAATCTTTTTGTCTAAGGTTATGGTATGGTGGTGCAACCTTTCCCCCCTGCTTCTTATGTGGAACCACCTGGCTACATCCTTCCTCATGCCCAGCTGCACATGGCTGACTACAGACGCATGATGGCCCCTCACCTGGCTCCTGCAATGGCGTACCAAGCCCGCCGATTCCGGTACCAGCACACAACGCCTTCTGGCAGAGTCATGGTCAGTTCAGAAGTACAGACTGAGCCTGTTGGTACAGAGTCCCCCCAGCATGACTGTAAGGGTGCAACGAGTTCCCAGACCAATTCTGAATCAGGGAGGGGTACTGCCTCTAGCAGCAACCTTTCATCCCCCAAGCCACATGCAGACACATCAGCTTGTCCAGAAGAGGCCTTTGGGATAAGTTCAAACAAATCCCTTGCAGATACAGTTGACTCCACAAGTAATGTTTCATCTGTGGTTCCAAACAGTGAAATCGTCTTCCAGGCTGAAGAAGTGCGGATTGAGTGCAGCGGAACTCGTGCTGGGCTCAAGCTTATTCATGCTAAGGAGACCACTGAGCTAGCCAGCAGTGGTGAGCTGTTGCAGTGCAACATGGGATCTGTGCACTCTGCAGAGGATGTGGTCTTGAGGTGTTACCAGCCTCTAGCATTTGGGGAGAACAAGCAGAGGGAACCTTTAGATGATCTGAACCACTCTGATGAGCAGTATTTGCCGGCCTGTCCAGACATTCTAATGACTGGAGCCTGCCCCTCTAGTGGCTCACTGGAAGGATCAGATAGTACTCCAGTTGAACCAGGCAACAGCACAGAGATACATACTCTGGCGGTCCAAGGGGATCCCAGCTTGGTCAAAGGTGAAGATGACTTCTGTGGTAACTCTAAGAATCTTCACTTCAAAATCTTACGACTGCCCTTTGACCTGCAGTGTTTGGATGAGCTGCGTCAGATGGAAGCCTCTGTCTGGTCTGTTGAATCGCTGGTACCTTATGTTCCCTCTACTGAGTGGATGATCCAGAATGGTTTGCTAACCCCTCAGAGGCCATCTCTGACCACAGTGATGGAGGTTCCATCTGAGGTTCCACTAGAGGCCAGCCAACCTGCAGCAGATGCAGCTTCAACTCCACAGGAAAACCTGCAAGCTGAAAGAGCGATTGAACTGGATGGCCAAGACTCAATGACCTCTCTTGAATCTCTCCCACCCTACCTTCCTGCAGCCAGTTGGTTGGCTGATTTCAGTAATGTTTATTACAGTAAACTACCTTCAAATGTTCAACAGGTTGGGAACCTCAGAACCTGGCCAGAGGGGCAACGTGGCGAAAAGTCTGAAGTCAGTCAAGATACCAACATGGAATCATCAGTTTGCCCTAAATCTGGTTCTGTGCAATTCAAAGAGCCAAGAAGCAGACATAGAAGTAGGACTGCTGGGCTCAGCCCTTCCCATCAGGATGGTTGTCCGGTTAAATCGCATTTAGGTATGCTTCACTCTCCTGAACACAAAGTGCGGATCTGTAAGAGTTGCCTGATGAAACAAAAGGCACGCAACATCTCTGGCAGTCCAAGCCCCAACTCTAACTGTGTGAAACGGCACAAGGTTGCTCATTCTCATTCGACAGGAGATAAAACTAAAGTTCACTTGTGTGCAGTTTGTATGTGTGACCCTGAGAAGAAGTCTAGGTGCAAAGCTAGTGTGGATGGTGAAACAACTGAAGGGGAAGTCTCAGAAAACAGCTTGTACCCTACAGCAGGACCGAAGAAGAGAGTTGCCGATGGCCAAAAGATGTTACATAATAACTCCCAGAAAGTGTCTTCAGGCAGACACTCTGAGAAATGCCCCATGGCTCGCCAGTCCAAGCTTCGAGAGCAAAATTGCTCCTGTGAGGGTCCTAAAGGTGTCCCCAGTTCTGCTCAAGTATGGGACAGCAATGGATATGGCCAGCATAATGATCTCACTCTGGAAAAGAATGAGATAAACATGGCTCTATATGCAACAGAAAGGTGGAGAGATACTGAACAGAGGTTAAGTTCACAGAAACAGAAAGGTAAATGTTTTTCCATCTCTTCCCCTTTTGTGCACTTTTTGCTGGAGTCCTATAGTATGACACAGGATGCTTTTGATTTGTTATTCATTTGTTTTTCTTTTCCCTAGAGAAGTCATGGAAAGGAGGTATGCAAGTATCAGATACAGAGAGCACTAAAAGTGCAGGGAAGATAAGAACCCACAAACAAAAGCAATATGCACCGACACCAGGTAGGTTGTCAGATTTAATCTGTAAAGCAGCTCACTTTTTACAAACTATTCTGAATTTCATGTGCTTTGACCTTTTTCCATTCCAAATTTAGTGTTGCATTCCTAGATGTTACCCATAATGGTGTATATTTGTCTTGGTGTTAAAGTTGGCCACTTATTTCTTTTGATTTCTACAGATTTTATAACTTTTGTATAGATGGAGCCCCTAACATTGCTCATCTCACATTAATCAGACTAAACATTAAAATGACTTGGAAATGTCAGTGAAAGGTCTCTTAAGGTTTTTATGCCTAATGTTCTGAAATGTAAAGAGTAATATCTGTATAATGGTCAAATTGTGAACTTGCAAATACAGAATTTCTTCAAATGATTTCAGAATTTTCACATTTGTCAGTTTTTCCTACTTTTTTGGTAGATTTTGCAAAAATGTTTTTTGCTTCCAGAATTTCCCCTTTTGCATTTTGCTTCAGAATTTTGGCTTTTTTTATATTAATAGGTCAGTGGGTCTTGTGTTTACTTTAAGCATTTGTTGGTCCACTCATTCAGAGACAGGTCCTCTAACCCTTAACCACACCCATGGAAAGACCCTCCACTAAAGCATTGGACAAAGTGTTGTATTGCACTAACATGGGTTTCTTTTCCCTCCTCCTTCCATTTTTCATGTTTAATTGTAAATCTGGAACCCGGAAATGGGCTAAAGAAACATCAGACATGCCGGTGCAACACTGCACTCATGATTCTGCCATGTTGAGTGGTTGACGGTCAGTGCAAAAGTGGACCAATAAATACTTAAGGTCACAATCTAAGATCCACCCACCTGTTCAAATGTCAGTGTATAAGTAAAAGTATGATTGCAGAAGTAAAAGTGAGATTCGAGAAGCCAAGGGATGTTTGCAAAATCCCCAAATAGAAAAAAGGTGAAATGAGTAGTAAAGGGCCCGAACAGCTTTTTGGATTTCTCTTGCTTGTATTTGCAATATTTTACATTTTGTATCAGACTATTTGATATTTAGTTTAAACCTTTCAGCACAAAATGAAGAAAACAGATGATGGCTAATAGAGAAGCGTACCCCAATTTGTGTCCACCTTATTAATAGTTGCAGGTTCCGGTCTCAAGATCTGTAGTACCAGTGGCAAACCATGACTACTAATTGGCCTATTTCCATCCTGTACTTAATGAAACAAGTAGTACTGTAATACTTGCAGAGTTGAAAAATGAGCTCCTTTCTAAGTAATATAGGGATTTCTGCAGGATTCCAAAACCATTTTATTGTATGACTTAAGATGGTAAACTGATACTGCAGCGTCTTGGCTTCGTAAGACAGTTCTACAGGAATACTGTGCACTGAATCTTAGTTTCTTCTATTGTTACCATAGATTTTTCTTCTTGCTGTAATTTGTGCTCCGATGTGCTAATTAAATCATACTCTGCTGTTAATGCTCTGCTTTTTTTTTTAACAGAACTTCACAGAAGAGACACAAGATGCTGATGACACTATTGCACAGTAACCAAATGGATAAGCCCACTTCATAATCACGTTTTAATGTCACAACTATGATTTTGATCCCTTTAAAACTGATCACAGCTCACTATTTTATACAGTGATTGAATAAAGCACTTTTGATGTTTCCATTCTGTGTCATCTCCATATGTGCAGCGACTTAAGAAATGGACAGTAGCCCAGATGTCTGGCTTGCATATTGTTTGTTTTAATGTTTAATTCATTGCTGAACCTTATTGCAAAGTTCAGCATGGGGCGGCTAGAAATCTCCCACTGGGGTCTTGAACCCCTATGTTTTACCCTCAGACTGCATCAGTGTCCTCTTGGTCAGAGTAGATGGTTGTATTTTGTATTGTTCTAACTTTGTTAGGCACAGATGGCTCAGCTTCTCCCTGGGAATGAGCTTTCATGTGTTTAGAGCTATTTTGGTGCCAAACAGAATGAATTTTGTAAACCCTACTGTTTGAACACCCACAGCATGCCTTGCAAATACAAAGCCTGACAAACATGCATGGTGTGCTTTTGCAAATTACAAAACATGATTGACCTCCAATAGCGTAGAGACTTTGAAATACTGTCCTAATACTTCATGCTTGAATAAATGTTCTGCAAATACAAAAAGGTTAGCAAAAAATAAAAATTCTTAACTTTCTAACAAATGATCAGAGCTGCTTATTGAGTGTACATGCTCTGCACAACAATAAGTGACCCTGGAGAATAGGGATTACACAGTTCTCCACTTACACAGAGTGTAGTGGATCATCCAAGGCTCATCTGATGTCTAAATTCAGGACTTGATCTTTTGAGGCTGATGTTGCTAACACAGTCAATACTCACCCAAATCTTTCCTATAAATACATCCCCCAAATTGCTCTGAAACTGTCTGCCTTCACGAAGGGTTACACAGACTCACTGGTGTGGTTTAGGACAGTTGCTGTGACCTATAAAAATGAACAAGTTGAGTGTTGAAGCATGACATGATTTTTAGACAAGTGTTCAGCTGAATGCTGCCTCCTCTGCAGAATCTGCTCCCCTTCACATGCATAATAAATTAGATTGCTGATTTATTTTTGAACAGACACCTTCAGTTAGAAATTTCAAGACTTGGAGAAAGAAGTTAACATCTGTGTGCACACGACATGCAGCTGAGTTCTGGCACAAGGCCTATTTCCTAAAGTGGCTGCTCACAGTGTTCATTTGTACGTCATACTTTGTCCTAAAGCGTATTAAGTCTGCGTGACCTTAATGAACACCTGGATGTGGTTTGAGCTGCTTGAGAGAAGTTTTGGAGATTTGGGTGATTACTGACTTCAAAATTTGGATGCCAGAAATGTAATGGCTGATCTGTATGAGGTGTGGACGTACCAAACAAATAACTGGTTGTGTGGTGAAAAATGTATGTGAATTAAGTATAGTCAATAAAATCCATGGAAATTGAAAATTTGAGTGGTTGTGTTTATTCTATAAAATATGAACCACATTTTATCACCTAGTTGGTTTTTGGAAAGTGAAAATAAATATTTTTTTGCCTGTAAATCGAGTGGTGTCTCAAATATCTGTTGAGTGTGTTTTGACATGATTTCTGGGAACTAAAAACTGCACGTCTGTCATTTTTGGGTCATTTATATTCAATAGAATCATCGCTCAATTTAATCTCTGAAAGTATTGCAGTACTATTGTTTTATTGTAATGTTTTGGATGGAAACAAAATGATTGAATTCTTGAAACCTCCAGTGGAAACTGGCCAATCAGGAATTGTTTTGCTCCGTGGTGTCTAGGTAGATGTCTTTTCTAATTATGTTTTTCATGATGAATTATATTATCAGCATAGGAATTCGAGTGAACAGTACAATCTATAATAAATTATTAGAATTTGGTACTGTATGTACTGCATTTGCTCTAATGACAGCATGCACTTCACAAGTTTGCGCAAAAGCCTAATATGAGCAGATCAAATCCACCTGAGAGTTGCTTCAAAATAAGAGATAAGACTAAAAAATATCTGACCTTTTTGCACAAAGGCCCAAACATTGTCAGTGTCAGAAATTTATTGAAATGTGAACAGACTGACCTAAAAAAAGAGCAGAATCTTGAAAATATTACTTTACATTCTAAAACCTCCTGTTTATTTCCAAGTTTAATGAAAAAGGATCCCAGATTTTCAAGTCTCAGACTTTTAGCCCCCACTGTCGCTAAGCGACCTCTTCCTTTGGCCATAGATGTCAAGGCTCGTTTTAAATATTTAAGTTGGAATGGAAAATTCATTGGCACTACAATGTAACTGCTGCACCTGCTGTTTAAGGTGTTCTGGATTAAACACAGACAATTGAAGTTCCAAAAAGATATTCATATTCAGTCAGTGACGTATCTGGGACTTCCAGAAGGCCTGGAGTGATGTTTTTTCTCAAGAAACCGGCCCCGCCCACTGGAGATCAACATGTAATTGGTTGATTCCCCTGTCTGTTCATAATTGTGCTGATCTATATTAATCTGATCTGAGTTAATCTAATGTTTTAGGACTTCTCTTCAGCTCCTATAGCCCTAACCAAAGTTAAAGGCCTAGCTCTAATAGTTGTTCTTCACCACTGAGTCCAATAATAAATGTTGCGAGATGCCAAAACGTGGTTCATATTTGATTAAATCCACACTTTCAATCAAATAACAGTTGATTTTATCATATTTTATGAACTCACACCATCATTTATCACTCTATTCCCATTCATATGCATTTTATTGACATTAACTCCACCCTCATACATCTGTGTTAAGTGGAACTAATGTTAGTGTGAATTTTATCCTGAATTGACCACCTAACCCAGACCCTTATCCAGAGATAAAACAAATAATGCACTACAAGTTTGAAAAGATTCTTCCTTTTATTAATAAGCATACAAAAAATATGTACATTCAAATTCTCACATGGTGTGACTGATACAGTATACAGTATTTCAAGTAGATTTCCACCAATAATAGACAACCCACTGTATTTATCTATTTTCAGAACTCTCTTTTCATGTCAGATATTTGGCATTGATCAAAACAGTATTTTTTTTAGTTTTTTTGTTGTTGTTTTGGCACTTAATGCAGGTATCTTTGTACAAAGGAGTTTAACCAGTGGGATGTTGAGTGTTTTAGCTTTTCCGAGCCATAAGTAATCAAAAATAATAAACTGATTTGAATGGCTGTTTGCTTCAACAGATTCCACCATCAAAATTTGTCTTAGGCTACTTTCTTCAAACTGTATGACCACAGCCACATAAGTAAGTGTCAAATATAACAACTTAAAAGATCAATACAATTGAATATCAACCACTGACTTGCTAAAAGGATCTCTACAGTGTAATAAATGAACAGCATCTGACATAGCGAATGCCACATTTTGATAAACATACTTCAAAGATAACTTATAAAAATAATAAATAACAGCACAAAGAGAGTATAAATAAATTCCTGAAAAAAATGATGACAAGGAAAAGAAGGTTCAAATGCTGTTCAGTGCCAGGCTCTGACAGACAGACCACAACAGAGATCAAACAGATTATACAAACACAAAGTCCTCAGAATGAAGAGTCAGAGTTTTATCTGGCTCCAGAAAATGCATGATAAAGTAAATTTTGCTCTCTTACATGCAAACCTGTTACTGAGTCCTTGTGTCTTGGTAACGGCCATGTTAAAATCCACATGGTTGTTGAGAGCCAATATAATTCCACAGCGGAACTGAATAGACATTTGAAGTTGTTTCGTCATTTTGTAGTGTGCATCATTTTCATATAAGCAACCCCAAGTCTAAGCTAGTTTTCTTTATGGGAACAAAGAACTGTGCTCATCGCAACAGGTGTATAAAATCAAGCACATAGCCATGCAGTCTCCATAGACAAACACTGGCAGTAGGCACTATCATAGGCTACCACCATTGCCACAAGTCAGTCTGTGAAATGTCTGCCCTGCTAGATCTGCCCCAGACAACTGTAAGTGCTATAATTTGAAATGGAAGTGTCTAGGAGCAACAACAGCTCAGCCGCAAAGCAGTAGAACAAACTCACAGAGTGGGGTTACTGAGTGCTGACATGCATAGTGTTTAAAAAATTGCCTGTCCTCTCTTGCATCACTCAATAAAGAGTTCCAGACTGTTTCTTGAAGCAACATCAGCACAAGAACTGCAGCCAGAGCTACACGAAATGGGTTTCCATGGCCGAACAGATGCACACAAGCCTAAGATGACTATGCGCAATGCCAAGCGTCAGATGAAGTGGTGTAAAGCATACTGCCACTGGACTCTGGAGCAGTGGAAACGTGTTCTTTGGAGTGATGAATCACGCTTCACTATCTGGCAGTCTGATGGACGAATCTGGGTTTGGTGGATGTCAGGAGAACACTACCTACCCAAATGCATAGTGCCAACAGTAAAATTTGGTAGAAGAGGGATAATGTGCACAAAGTGAGCTCCAGACATGGTATGACGATTTGGACGTGGAAGACCTACAGGCCTGCACAGAGCCCTGACCTCAACCCACTGAACACCTTTGAGATGAATTGGAATGTGATGAATTGGATGGCCTTCTCATCCACCATCAGTGCCTGACCTCACAAATGCTCTTCTGACTGAATGAGATCATTTCCCACAGACACACTCCAAAATCTCGTGGACAGCTTTTCCCAGAAGAGTGGAGGCTGTTAATGCCACAAAGGAGGGCCGAGTCCATATTAATGCCCATGGCTTTGGAATGGGATGTCCAACAAGCTCATATAGGTGTGATGGCCAGGTGTCTACACAGATTTTGCCCATATATTGTATATAACACTTCCACGTGACATCATTTCATTGTGCAGCAGTGTTAGCTTGCTTGTAGCATGTATGTAGCATCGTTCATTTGTCGACTCCTTTACAGACTCCAGATTCCAAGGATCCAGTGATATTTGGGGGAAAAATGTACACAGGACAAAAATGTATCTGCAGTTTTTCCTTATGGGCATGATGCCTCTTACAAAATGACGACACAACTTCAAAGGGTTAATAATCTGATCATTGAAGGCCCTACATTCTATAGTTTTCTTGTTTTGTTATTTTTTTCCTGAGATCCACTTATGACACTTTTTGGGGTTTATGTACCAAAGTCATTAGGTAAATGCAAATGTAATGTAACCATTTTCCAGCCTCTCTTTATCTTAGAATTAAACAAGCTGTTTTCTTTACCGTGCCAGTAAGAATTAAATATGTAATTGACCTCTGTTCTGATTGGCTGCTCTGTATTGTGCCTAGCTGAAAAACCATAGGCTGAAACTCTCCTTATATATTAATGGGTGGCACTAAAGTGCTGTAGGCTCAGTAGTTGGATATACAAATATCGCAATTAGATATTTTCCCCGCCCTGCGATGGACCGGCGACCTGTCCAGGGTGTATCCTGCCTTCCGCCCAATGACAGCTGGGATAGGCTCCAGCACCCCACCCAGGATGATAAGCGGTTTAGATGATGGATGGATGGATGGATGGATATTTTCCCCAAATTGTTCAGCCGTGCCTTACAGTTGAAATGGTGGAATGGCTGGATTACAATGGCAGACGTCTTGGGCTCGGTCTGGACACATTCCGAGCGGCAGTGATATTGGAGAATGTGGCTATATGCAGCACTCCTTTTATTCCTTTTATGAATGTCCTTAGTCTGTGAATCCTGTCTACTCTCCCTTTTCTGTCTGTTCTTCATTGTGGTTCCTGCTTTCTTTCCCTTGTGACAATGTATAGGCCTGGTTCCACTCCAGAGGACCACTCTTTCCTCAGTGCTATCATCAAATTCCTTAACTAACGTTTTCTTTTTCTGCTATCCTTCTGTCCATTACAGATCAACATGACGTTCTCACTTGCTGCATGTCCAACAGACAGCATGCTTCCCGCTGTTTATGAGGCCTAACCCAGTCCAATCTCTACCACATTGGGCTGTTCTCGTCGCAAACCCCATACATTTCCGCTAGTTTGTGGAATCGCGGCCCCCAGTCGTTCAGGTAATCATATTCGTGGTCGGTTTGTGATGCAGGAGACTGTAAAGAGCTCAGAGATTCCGCTATAGACCCCTCACCTTCGTATGCGTACGTCTGAAGCGAGTCGTACGGTGGGCCACACGGGTCTGAATCGGCTTCGTAAATTTTGGCCAGCACGTAGCCGTGAACGTTAGTGCCGTCTTCTCCTATTCTGCTAACGCAGGGCTGAGGGACGTAGCGCGAAAGGCTCTGGATCTCCGGCAGCATGTCCTGCCGTAGTTTACTGTAGTTCGCCAGTGGTTCCACACGGGGGCTCCAAAGAGCATAAATATCAAACGCTTCAGTGTCCTCTTCCCCTCCGCCCTCATCATCGTAACGCACAATGTTCTCATGCACGTTTTCCTCCTCTTTGGTCAGGTAGGGCTTTTTGCTCTGTCTGCGAAGCGACAGCATCAGGATGATCATCACTGTGGAGAAGAGAGGGAGGGAGAGAGAGAGAGAGAGAGAGGGAGAGAGAGAGCGAGAGAGATAGAGACGTATGAATTTCAGATTGAATTTTAAATGCTTCCTTCACTTTGACTTTTTTGATGTATTTAAATTAATTTGTACATGGCCATTTTCAAACGTTTCTTTATCCCTTACAATTAAACACAATTCTTGATCACATGTATTATATATGTAAATGACTTCTGTTCTGATTGGCTGTCCTGTATTGTGCCTCCTTCAAAAAGCTGTCTGAGCTGAAATATGTAACAAACTGACTTGACAGTCCCTTATAAACTATCATTGCAAGTTATTTTTCAACATGAGAAAAAAAACAGAAACCATGTACGTAACAGAAAATTATAAAACAAAATTATACAATTATACAACTACTAAATGTATATATTTTCAATGTTTATTACAGCATTCCATTCTTTGCAGGGATATTTTTCCACAGCTCCAAAGTTCAGTCTTAAAAGCTGGTTGCAATTTCTGCTTCTCACAAATTCACACAGCTGGTGCAGAAGCATCTCATATTGCAATAATACAGTGTATAAATATGTTATTTTACACCACACTATCACATCATTCTACCATCTTAAAAAAAAAAAAATCTTTATTTTATATTTTTTTTTCTTTCCACTCGTTGTATTGTCATTTTAACACGTTAAAGTTTGGTCAGTGCAGTCCACCTAAGAGCACAGCCTGTGGCTTACTTGCTGCTGAATGGTGCCATTTTACTGATTTCCTACCAAAACATCTGCATGAATGAACCTGTTCAACTCTTTGAGACCACTGGTGGTTCCAAAACGCACTTCATCATATTCTTCATAATTTTCATATTTCATAAGATACATTAAAAAGGAGGGTGTCATATGAGAGCTGTAACTGTCTTCTTTCCAGTCAAATAGATGGCTGATGTAATTCTAAACCCCTATAATAAAAGAAGCTGAACATTTTTTTTGGTCTACTGAAAGTCGACCCATTTTTCCACAAATCTGGGCTACAAACTATAAACAGATGGCGTCTCTTCAGTGATCTGCTCTGTAAAAATTATTTTTATAAAATAATACAAAGAACGTCTAATATTTTTTGGCTTTCAGCAGTAAATTGTAAGCATATAGCAATATGAGTATGATCATAAAACACAGTTTCTGTTAATTTGAGGGGCTTTTACAATAAATAGATAAATAAAATAAACATTTACTGTTATTTCATGCAGTTACTAAATAATTTGGGTCATGTAAATTCAGATGGACAAATCAAAATATACACTGGTCAATGTAAATGATATGTAAATGAGGTGAGGGTTGGCTGGTGCTTGATTTCACGCACTTAGGCTGATTCTTCATTTGTGTTCAAATCTCGTGCTGAGTAGTTTGTACATCATTACAGGCGATACAACCTGCGCTGTTTTTAGTGTTAAATATCTTTGATACTTTACAAAACCACTACTTGCTTCATTACTTTTGTCTGTTAAAGACTTGTGTACAGCAGCTTTGTCTCTTACCGAACAGAATGAAGGCGCAGGCGAGGATGGCTATGAGCGCAGCTCTGCTCAGGCTGGCCGGCAGTGTATAAGCTTCAGCGTCGCAGGATAAAACGTTACCATCCGCATCACAGCTGCACACGCGTATGGTGAGGGTGCTGGTGCTGGACTGAGCCGGCTGATCTCCATCGGACACAAAAATAGGCAAATAATACACACTCTGGGTCCGGGACGACCAGCCACCTCTCCGGGTTAAAATCCACGCTGAGTTATCTGGAGGACAGAGAGGAGATGGTGGAGACAGATAAGTAGAGGAAGGAGAGATAGAGGTGGTATAGTGCCTAATATGTCCGATTAATTAAGTGTAACACTTCTGTAGTGATAATTTCCTTGAAAGCAAGTAAAAATACTCAACAAAGTTATTATTTTAGCTGTCTATGAGCTCAAAGTGTAGACTTTCACCTTTAATTTGAGGGTATTTAGATTGCAAGTACAACCATTTACATACACAGCCCCCCATTTTAGGGGCTTAGAAGTAATCGGACAGTTGGCTGCTCAGCTGTTCCATGGCCAGGTGTGTGTTTTTTTTATTATTTCACTAACAAGTCAGCAAATAAAAGGTCTAGACCTGATTTCAAGTGTGGCATTTGTATTTGGAATCTGTTGCTGTAAGAATATTGCATAATTTCGCAATGAGCTCACAGACAAAACATCTTCAATTATGTCCTGAAAGTCATAAAACAATATCAGAATTCATATACGAAGAAAGTTAGATTGAACAAAGGGGAATTTCAGTTAAGATGTTGACTAAATGAATATCATGTCTGTGAGGTCAGTGTATTTTTAGCATTGCTGCAGTTAGTGGGGTTCTGTTTGTGCTCATTCTCACCTTGATTATCTCTCAGTGTAAAGTTGGGGTTATTAGCTGCTTCAGGAGCTAAACTGTAATAGAAGCGCTGCCCCCCTGTGGGCTCATCTGGATCTACCGCTGTCACTGTCTGGATCAGCTTGAGAAAAACACACAACAACATAAGCCACCCATTCTGTAGTATTAGCACTAATTCAATCACATACCATGCAACTACACTTCCTATGTGAGCATGCATTATCTGACATTTAGACACATGACACTTTTTTAATGAAATCATATTTAATCCTTAAGCAAAATGCATTTTTGTAAGTTAACAGTATATTATTTTGGGACGTACTTTCACTTTTTACAATCATAGTCAATGTGAAATATAATTTACTGTGCAAAAAAAGTAAAAACAAAACTGAACAATGCACAGATAAACCTACGTTGATATTGCTGTCTAACACTCGTCCCACGGGCCCGGCAAAAATGATGCTAAATGTCTACAAAGCTGAAGTTGACTACTTTTTCACCAGGTTTTTGTTAAGATTTTCCATTCCACCTTAAATGGAGCAGCAGTTACACTCTGGCACCTGTACAGGCTCCTGAATGTAATAGATGCACAGTTTAAGGTGGATCAGGAATTTTGAACAACAAGCCAACTTCATTATCTCATAGGTGCATCCCACTCACTCGTGCCTTCGACCATCACACACTACTGCAATATAGAAATTGTTACAGTCATTCACGCCACCAGTACCAGCTGCTCCACGACCTGTTGCAATGAACAAGGCCCAGAGGCTGCGGCCTCATCTAATGTAGCTGAACGGGTCAGGCGGTATGGTTTAGAAGGAAGTGAGGACTCACAAAAAAAGACGGCCAATGTAAATCTCTGGCTGTCCAGATTATTTGCTGACTTGAAGGACAAAGGCCTCAAGAAACCCACTGCACCAAAAAGCCTTTCAGAAAGTGTACACTCACATGGGAAACTGACTGAATTCGCTTTTTCTAATTAGCTTTTGAATCTGCAAACTTATAATCCACTATAAGAATTGTGTGTAGAATTCTAATACTAATTCATTGTTACGCCACTGCTGCTTGCTTACCTGTCCTGCTTTTGCATGTTCACACACAAAGGCGTCATAGTACTGTGTCAGTGATGGTGGGTTATCATTTACGTCTAGAACCTTTATGGCCACGGACACGCTTCCGATCTTTGACGGGTTATCTGCAACAGACGCACATATACACAGCATAAATAACTATTTCACACATTAATTACCATAAAGTAATTAATTACCATAAAGACCATATAAGTCCAAATCACCATGGGTTTTGTGGATGTGTGCCCAGGAGAAGGGGCCGAGCCACTAGGGGGGCTCCAAGAGCAATTATGAGAAAATCTAAGCAGCTGTTTTGATGCTGAACTTTATTAGTAGCACAGCTGGAAAAAATGAACTACTTTCAAACTTGTCTTTGTGTTTTGGCCAATCATAATCCTGATACTCTCCGTGTCTTTCCTAACATCCACATCATTTTCACCTCTAATCACTGCTTAGTAACTGTTACACTGTCCACCACTATTAAGCTTATAGGGTTTAATCAGTTTTGTTTGAATTGCAGATATTCAAAAGATGTGCCGAGGCAAGGTACTTTAAATATATGTCAGCCACCCGAGTCAAAGAAAAATGTTGCATCGTCCTTGTCAGGCAATCTACTTCTACGCATAAAGTCATCAGAGGTAATATATAAATAGAAAAACTGCTGTGGCAGTATGCTTTAGCTTAGGATGTTGTTGCTGTCTTCTATTACAGCTGTTTGATTATAATTTATGTCATCTGTATCAGGGTAAATGTTGTGCTTGTCAGGAGCACATGTGAAGTGCTATTGGGTTTATGTTAGCTTGTATTCTCTCTAATGTGTGCATAATGTTGCTGTTGTTATGTCCCAATTGGGAAAAGAATATGCACTTATAGTGATGACCAACACCACAGTAAGTGTGCTGCTGTCATGATGCTGCATACGCCTCATGTAACCTGCTGTCATATAATAAAAATTTCCTGGCCTAAAATGGTAGCCAGGTAGGTTCCTATCAAACAGGGACTGATAACTTGATCCAGGCCTGGCCTTAAGTATATTATTATCGCATTATATTAATTCAGTTCAAGATTTTTCAAGCTTTTAAACATGGCATCTGAATATAAATACTGCTAAAATAGAATAACAATTGTAAACAGACAGACAGATGTGTGTGTGTGTTTGTTTGTGTGTGTGTGTGTGTACTCACTCATCTCCATGGCCAACACAGTAAGATTGTGCCAGCTGACCTCCTCTCTGTCCAAGGGCAGTAGGGTCATCAGAGAGCCGCTGGTAATGTCCATGTAGAAAAACTTCTCAGGATCACTCATACGCTCTATAGAATACCTGACCAACATACCCAGGAAAGAAGAAATTATTTATCATCTTTCTCTTTATTATACTACATTTAAAGAGCCCATGTTCTACATGAACTACATGTACTTAATTTGTTTCCCCAAAGTCCACCAGGAAATGTTTGAAGTTGGTAAAACTGAAAATTGAAGCTTTGGGGATTATCTTAATATTTATTTAAACAGAAGGTAAAAATAAAATGGATCATTCTACCGAACTGGTTCAAAGTCAGATTAAAAAATTCATTTGGGGCCTTTAAGTGGCTTGAACTAAAATCCTTTCACTCTTATTAAACACTCCATTCTGTCACCACCAAAAAATCATAATACTGCTGAAACTTGACTAAATATTTCAGTAATGAATTGTTATAACAGTAACGATTTTAACAGTTGCACACACATCAAAATATTTTTCATGAAAACAAAAAGTTTGCTTGATTGCAGAAAATTTATTTCGGTAGTGAAAATTCTTAATGTTACACACTGATTTGGGACTTTGGGACACATTTACTTCAAAGCAGTGGGATCTAAGTGTTCACCATGTGGCCATGAGGGACAGGGATACAGTCTCACTCCCTGCCCTAAAATGCAGGGGCGTGGCTGAAAAAGGCTCCGCCTACAGACTAAAACTTTTTGTGTTTCTGTAGTGACGAGAAAATGTGTGATAGCATTTTTTTCAAAGGAAAAGAGGATCTTTAATTTTTTTTTTAAAACATCATCTGTACAAGTGTAAATTTAGGGGTTAGGGTTTTAACTGCCACCTTCCAATACAAAGTACCCTATAAATGATGATTTTGTGTATATTTAGCTTATTAATATCTCTATTAATGCCTTCGGTTTAAATAGATCATAACAATCCTTGTAAATGTCTAAAGTCTTAATACTTTAATATTTGTTATCCGGTGTTATCATCATGCCTGATATTCAGCCAGGTGCTGTATTTTTGTTTTGGTGGTTCACACTTCTCCATTTTTCAAAGGCTGCATTGAGCTGTGATTTCCCCCATTGCTAACAACAGCTAGTGAACTGGCTAGCTAAAATTATGTAGCAACACTAAGCTAAATCAGGTTCAAATCAGGTTCAGTGTGATTTTTCCAGCATTCTGTAAAGCCTGTCCAACCTTGTGTGCATGGATAGATCAGTCGGTATCTCACTTGGCCAATATAAACCTTTTCTGATTCTCATTCTTAACACACCAATGAACTGTGAGAATCAGAATCAGAAGGAGGACTTCTAGCTGATCTGGGACTCACCTTATAGAGTTGTTTGCAGCGTCAGGATCCCTGGCAGAAATCATTTTAAACACTGTTCCGATTTCAGCATCTTCAGGAACTTCTACGTAGTAGAACGGAGAGTCAAACTCTGGAGCTTCATCCACATCTTCTACGCTCACATGAACGATCGTCACGTCACTGAACGGACCTTTATTCGCGAAGCGAGGGTCAACGTGAGCATTAGAGCCCTCCACCTTTAGAGTGTAGCTGCGCTTCCTTTCAAAGTCCAGAGGCTGAAACACATATAAACTCAGAAATGAGCACGCTCTGTGCAGAGTAGCATTTCAGTCATTTCTTAGCTGGTCTATGTTTTAGCAAGAGGCTAACATTTAAAGCAGTAGTTCAGAGAAAAATCTAATTTTCCACTTAGCCCAAATGGTTCTCCACCTAGCCCAAATGGTTCTCCACCTAGCCCAAATGGTTCTCTACTTAGCCCAAATGGTTCTCCACTTGCCCAAATGGTTCTCCACTTAGCCCAAATGGTTCTCCACCTAGCCCAAATGGTTCTCCACTTAGCCCAAATGGTTCTCCACTTAGCCCAAATGGTTCTCCACCTAGCCCAAATGGTTCTCTACTTAGCCCAAATGGTTCTCCACTTAGCCCAAATGGTTCTCCACTTAGCCCAAATGGTTCTCCACCTAGCCCAAATGGTTCTCCACTTAGCCCACATGGTTCTCCACTTAGCCCAAATGGTTCTCTACTTAGCCCAACTGGTTCTCCACTTAGCCCAAATGGTTCTCCACCTAGCCCAAATGGTTCTCTACTTAGCCCAAATGGTTCTCCACTTAGCCCAAATGGTTCTCCACCTACCCCCAAATGGTTCTCCACTTAGCCCACATGGTTCTCCACTTAGCCCAAATGGTTCTCCACCTAGCCCAAATGGTTTTCCACTTAGCCCAAATGCAGCTGATCTGCTAAAGTGTCCAACTTTTGCTTCTTTAGTTAAGAAATGAAGCTGCTATGCTAAAGGTGCTAACACTGGAAGTAAACAGTCACCAAAATTGTTTCCACAAATACATTCCAAGGCCTTATACATTTGCTTCAGATCACACAGATAAGCTATGTAAAATAGCAGAATGGCAGTGATGGACCTTATTTACACATTTAAACTAAAACTGGAACTAAACGATTCACATAATGTCCTGCTCTCCTGGGCTATTTTGCCTAAAAACGTCCCATTAGCACAGTAACACCTAAGGCTTTCTTACTGCGAGAGAGTGAGAAGTTTTCATATCGAGTAACAATAAACCTTCAAAAACGATTGTGCTAAATCTGTAGCCACTGATTCTTACTAATGCAGACACATGCAAACTGTGGCTTTTAGCAGTGAATCACAAACCAGCAACAGAGGCATTCAGTAAAGTTACGCTGCTAAATCTCTGTGCATGTGGTGATCATTTTCACCTGACAATATCAAAGAAGATTTCTACTGAGATATTCTGAAATCCACAGCTGCGTCATGTAGGTTTATATGGATGACACCTCAAAGAGGTGAATCCGAGGTCAGCGCTGTTTACTTTTTCTCCATCTTTATTATGCTTACTAAGAAGTAGCTAAGAAGTGGTCTGGGGAGTCACTGGTGGGTCCTGCATCCAACTGACGCATTTCTTCACATGTATATTCAGGTTCAAACATAACAGTTGAGGCTTATTTGTGCACAAAGACGTGGTTCTTGAATTCATAATTGGAAGCTGTTTTGCTTTTCTGCAAACGCTCACTTAGCTCCTCTACCTGCATCTGTGTCATGAATTGCCTTCTTTGGTCATCCTGCGTGGAACAATACCAAGTAGTGCCCAGGAAAGAAGTTATTCATTGATTGCGTAACCTGAAACCTGGATGCGGTTTGAGCAAGTTTTGGGGTTGTATTTATGGAAATGTTTAGGGTGACTATTGACTTCCAGTGTTTATTAGCAAAGGTAGCTCCTGTTCTAAACTAAGAAAGGAAAATTTGGAAACCAAACACATCTTAGTTGATGGACTGCATTTGAGGTAAATAGAATATCATGTAAACCTGATTTGTATAGAGATATTATATAGATATTTATGTTAAAAAACTGACCAGTGAGCATTATGAGCCATACACTGACCCAATATACCACATTTCTGTCCCTTAAAGCAATAGAAAACAGTAAAGAAGCTCCAGTGTAGCTCCAGTGAAAAACTAAAGAAGCAAACATGTTTAGGCTGATCACCTACATTTGGTGTAAATCACATTTTCCATAACATTATCGTTTTAAAGCTGGTTATGGATTGCTGGAGCTAGTAGGCATTTGAGCTGTGCTACCATTTCTCTTGCTCCCTGTTAGCAGTCTCAGGGATATGTTGCACTATTTAATGCCAACATTTACCTTTTTAATAATGATGACACCATACAGGTTGCTGGCATCGACGCTAATGTCGAAGGAGTCCCGTCCATCTCCGTCAATAATGCTGTATTTCATTTCAGCGTTAATGCCTATATCACGGTCTTTAGCCTGGATTCGTCCCACCACTGATCCCACCGGACCTGACTCTAAAACACTCATCTGGTACAGCTCTGTGGGAGAGAAAGATGGAGAAAAAAGATCAAATATCTTATGACATGAGATATTTAGCCGATGTTTTCGATATTAAAGGGGAATATTTTAAATTGTCTGCATGATTTACTTGTTGAGATGATAGGAAGCTCATTTAGAGTGATTGGATGTGAAATTCTCAGTTCTAGAAACCACCATTTTATCATGATTACCATTACATTTAAAAAAAAATTAAGACACATGTAGGTTCACTGGTGGGTTTGGACAATAAATAAAGTGGCTAAATTTGTGATGCAGACATCATGACCCCTGGTTCCTATCACCACCACTGTAAAGAGAATCAGTAAGAAAGACTGCAGGCTTTTTTCTAAAATGAAACATTTCACATCAAACCACTCCAAGCAAGTGTGTCTCTCTCACTGTAATTTAATTAGAAGTGCTCAAATAACAGCTGCATATATATATATACACCATCACAAGATGTTTACAGCTGTATGCAAATCATTGAAGTGAGAGAGAACACACTTGCTTGGAAAAGTATATAATATTTGTAAAATATAAAACGTGCCATAACCTTTGCTCAGACCCCATTCTGTGTTTTCTTTTGTTACCCCCAAAATATGTTAAATTCAGCATATAAACATTTATTGTGCGTTAAAATGTGCAGACGTGTTCACTTATTCTCACTCACATAGTCAACAAAACCTCATTTGACCAGGGGCGCCCAAACTTTTGCTCATGACTGTATAATCAGTATCCAGTATCCTTTGTTATATCAGGTGTTCATCATGTCAAACCAGTAAAGTATGATTAGGAAAAGAACACCTATGCATCTATGGAGAATGTGTTTACATAGAAACACTCGCTTATCATTGGTTATCAGGAATCAACTCATTAACACTCAAACACTTAACACAAGAACGATCAGCTACACCTGAGTTAGAAACACCTCTGCCTTACAAACAGCCTTTACAGCTGCTACACTCTTCCTCCAAAAGAGGGAGCCAGATCCCTTGAAGTAAACTGGTGACCCAGGGAGTGGGACTTGTTTTCAGACTGGGAATTACATGATGCAGACGTTCCGCCTTAAACTCTAACTGTATTTCTCCTGCTACACACAAACACCCTTTTTCCCTGTTTAAAATGAATTAAATATTCACTCTTTTTGATTCTCAGATGCAAAATGATATGAGAGAAGTAAGATGTTGCTGAGGGGTCCCAGATATTCAGAAAGGGTCCTACCTGAAGAATCAGGCAGTTTAAGTACGAACGAGTAAAGTCACCTATTGTGTTATAGCCAGTAATGGTCTTACTCTGGGTGAATTTGGGTGGGTTGTCGTTGACGTCACTGAGCGTGATGTTGACTGTTGTTGTTCCCGCCAGACCACCCAGCTGACCCTCCATATCTTTAGCCTGAATAACCAGCTGATACTGCTCTCTGACCTCGCGATCCATTTCAGCCAGAGAGACCCGAACATCACCTACAAAGAGGCACACACAGACAGACAGACCAAGAACTTTAGAGGAGGAGGAAAATGTTCTTAAAATCATAATTCAGCCAGAAAATGTATCCATTCTTCCCCTTACCCCAAAATATACAGATAGGCCCATAAATATTTGGATGTAGAGAAAGTTATTGTTATTTTAGCTGTCTACCACAGCATGTTAGAGTTGAAATTATGAGGCCAAAACACAGATTTTCAACTTTATTTTGGAGGTATTGACACCTAAATTGGGTGAACTGTGTAGGAATTACAACCATTTTCATACAAAGCTGCTCCCATTTTTAGGGCCTCAAACTTAAGTGGAGAAACTAAAATCATCATAAATCGAATTATTGTTTTGAACCCTTGGCTACAAATCCTTTGTCTGGACCCCGTAGACATCAACAGACACTGGGTTTCTTCCCTGGTGATGCTCTGATAGGCCTTTACCGCAGCTGTCTCCAGTTCTGGCTTGTTTTTGGGGCGTTTGCCTTCAGTTTGCCTTCAGTAAGTTAAAATGCATGGACTGAGTGGACTGAGGTCAGGTGTTTGCCATGGCCATCGCAGAACATTCTAGTTCTTTGTCTTTAAAAAGTCTTGGGTTGCTTTTGCAGTATGCTTTGGGTCATTGGAATGATTCCAATCAGTTTGGAACGATCTGATCACATCTGATTAGATAATATAACACTATACACTTCAGAATTCATCCTGCTGCTTTGCCAACAGTCATATCATCAATAAATACCAGCATGGAACCAGTTCCACTGGCAGCCATCCATGCCCACACCATAACACTACCTCCACCATGCTTCATAGATGAGGTGGTATGCTTTGGATCATGAGCAGTTTCTTTCTTTGTCCATTCTCTTCTCTTCCCATTATTCCAGTACCAGTTAACAGCTAACAAGTAACTGAAGCTTATCCCACCAATTGGCAGCAATGCTCAGTTGTCTCTAGTAGACTTACTCATGTGGTTTTGGACTCAGTTTGACACACTGTAATCTATAAACATGGACAAAGTTACATCACATTGCTGAACACAGTAGCCGCAGCCATCCGGAAGCCTGCCGCTGAATTTTGTCAATACTTTTGACCATTTTTGTCCAAATATGTCTTGACTAATCAACTGGATTTGGCATTAAGGGGTAAACTGTTAAATACTTGATATTTTGGCTTTCACCTTTTTTAAAAATTTAATTTCTAAAATTAAATTTGTATTCACTCACATTTAGCAGGCTAAAGACTCTCCACAAGGGGGTGCTATTAGCACTCAAGTAGATTTTGACACTGTGTCTCCTTGTCAAATCATTTTTCCTGGTGCATTCACCATAATGTAAAGGGCAAATGCTTTCAAATGGTCATTTTCACCCTGGAAGACTGAACCTTCTCCATTTACCAAGTGTTGGCGTCTAAGAGTGTTTACACATAAAGTTCTTTCTGTGGCTCTGTATGTACGGTAAGTCTTGAGGTTCTTTTACCATAAAACAAAATGCAAAGCAAAATAGGGCTGTTTTTGTTTTACAGTGTATGAATCAGATGAAACACAATGTAATCGTACTGAGTTTGGTTTGTTTGTGGGTCCATTTAGGAGGATCTGAGTTTGTTTGACATCTTCACATATGCAAAAGAAACCGCAGTCAGAGACCACTTGAACTGTTGACTGTCTATGAGAAGTAGTAGTATGTTAGTAACATAGTTAGTATGTTGTAAGAACTGGTTTACATACATGAGCAATCTGTGTCTGTATGATTTGATGTACCTGTTTTTGGATCCACAGAGAAGTATGGCTGTCCCTCTAGAATGCTATAGACCACCCGAGCACTGTTACCGTACGACGGGTCATCGGCATCTACCGCTGTCACCCGGATCACGTAAGTGCCTATGGAGAGACAGTGAGAAAGAGGAGAGAGAACATATAAATAATACATTGTAAAATTAATAATCCATTTTATTTATTAGTGTTATTATGTTATGATTAATATTATTTTGTCATACGTCAATAATCTGCCCAAACATGTAAAATGCATGGATACAGTACCAACAGGAGACATCTCTGGAATGGTTGCCCTGTATGGTCCATCCAGGAATTTTGGCTCATTATCATTGATGTCCTGAATCTTCACGATGAACTCTGACTCGGGCTCTAGGGGGCGCCCTGTCTCCCGGTGTCTGGCCTGGGCTCGGAGCATGTACTGGGCCTTCACCTCGCGGTCTAGCCGCTGGATGGCATGGATATCACCTGTGCTGTCATCCAGAGTGAACGTAGTACCAGCACCTTCACCCGACAATATATACTTGATGGAGCCATCACCTTTATCCATGTCTGAGTGAAGCTGAAACAGAGGTTGAAAAAGGTAAGAAAAGAAAGAGGCTTCGGTCTCGATGACTGCACAACCCTGCACGGCACATTTTAGTGCTTGCCCTGTGTGTTAACTTCAGTGAGTGGACATCTACCAACACTGTGTGTTTACCATCTTTATGTTTTATTATTATCTGTCATGCATTCATGCACTGGAAATGCAGTCTTCATGTAAATGCAGTAAAAGCTGAATATTATACATTGCAAGTAACTCTCACACCACTAATTTTAAAACCAACCAAATATAAGCTTCACTCATTCACTCTGCAGGTGTGATTCTCTCTGTGTAGTTCATTTAACTCTGGCTGTTTTTTCTCTACTTCATGGAGAATTCATAACTCAGGATAACACGCTTTTGTTTGTAAGATCTATATTGTTCTGTGGATATCATCAACAGCCAAATTACATATGATCTAAACTTATGTTTAACTTATATCCAGATTAATATCTTCTGATGCCCCTGGTTCATTAAAACTGTGGTGCCCCCTAGGAACTCTTTTCTCATCACACACACTGCATTTTCATTGATCTAATTACTGAATAGGTATGAGGCCAAAATGCAAAAGAATTACACCACTTAAAATTCACACCTTGGTGATTTCTTTTCTAGCATCTATATAACTCATAGTTATTCCCCTTACCCACGGTAAAATGACTGTAATGCATGGCCTCAAGTGGCTTATTGCTTATATGAAACGAACAACATAAAATATGACATAATACACAATTTTCCAATAAATAATCTAAGCTATTATTGATAATTATCTACATAAACTGTTATTCTGCCAAGAAATGTAGTTCCTTTAGAGCAAGCCATCATGGACTGCTGAATTAGCACAAGAACGTTCAGTCACCCATCATTATATATTGCAGTCATTTCATGAATTTTTTAACTTTTTGTCATATAATTATGAACGTGCAAGTAGTTAGATTCTTAAGGGGGTAAATTCTTGAAACATCCATTGGAAAATTGGTCAGTCAGGAGTCATTTTTCTCTGTGGTATCTAGGTAGATTCAGTTAGATGAACTCTCCTATTGCTTAGGACTTGAGGAGCTGAAAAGAAGGCCTAACCCTCAGCATAATTATGACATGACAGAGAAATCAAACAATCATGTTTCCAATTGGTGGGACCAATTTTGTACATAAAAAAAAAACTCTAGGCCTTCCGGAGGTCCTAGGTACATCACTGAGCCAATACGAGCAGCAGCCTAATCAATGGGTTGTTAGAAATGGAAAACACTGGCGGTTGCTTTATATTAGACTCTCTAATGAAGAAGTCACTGTGAAACTGGTTAACTATATGCTAATATGTCTGCCACAAGCTTTAAGTAAAACATGGAATGACAAGCTTCAAATATTTGTTTTTAACCTAGAATGGCCAAAAAATGTTCATGCAATCGCCATTAGCTTAGCACTATAAACTACGAGAATCCTATAGGGATGTTAGCGGAATGTAGATGTAGTATGTATGTAGTATGTATGTAGAATGTAGAATGTAGTAATGTAGAGGCGTTCCTTTTTTAAGTGTGGCAAAGTTTTGACATTTATGGCTCAAATTGAAGGCCTAGTTCTACTAGTTCCAGTTCACCACTGCATTTTTAGATGGCATCAGCTAACTATTTCTTCATACACTCACTGTTTTTGAGGTATGAGGTGCAGTAAGTTATGATGTGACTATGCTAGTAATTGTTAGCTGAGGTAACAGGCGATTCGTTTGCTTGATCTTAAAGACTTTTTACTGGATACTTTTCTCTTTGTAAATTTCAAGCCACCTACTATGGATCTGGGTTTGGGATTAATATTGTAGAGTAATAGAGAGATTCTGAGACGTGTTTTACATTCTGATTCTGAGTCGTGTCTACATGCTGTATTTTGTCCGCCATATGTGCCGGTATGCAGTAGCTTGTAGCCTTAAGAGTCTTATACTATGGCTCTTCCTTACCTTTCCTATGTAAAGAGGTTTCTGTTCTGTGTACTCCTCAAGAACGAAGAACTGGTTCCAAACCCATCCTCTCTTCACTCTGCTCAGAGATTTCACTCTCAGACCCTTCTCCACTTTATCTCCCAGCAGGTCCTCAATCAGGGTTAATAACATCAACAGCATGATGATCGTGGTAAAGTTCCTTCTGCTCAGAAACACGTCCGCCATGGCAGTGAAGAAATCTCTCAGTGAAGCTGGTCAGTTTGGATGCAAAGTCCAAAGAAATCCTTAATTGCAACTGTCCCTGATTTCAGGGGTCTCCCTGTAAAAGCACACAAACATTATACTGTCATATATTGCTCTCTATTTCTATAATGAAACTCAGTAGAGGATGCTACACACCACAAACATGTTCAACCATCTTTATGAAGAAACAGAAATGGAAATTCTTGAATGTCTTTTTCCTAAATTCACTGTTTCCACACAAAGTCAGAAATTCACAACAAAAAAATTTGCTGATCAGTCAAAAACATGTTTGATGCTAGAAATGTGCTTTAGTTTTGTTCCTGAGCTACAAGGCTAAAAAGTAACTGTCATACAGTGTCAGAAACCACATAACCCAGATTCCAGACAGTTCTGGGCCGATTCTGGCTTGCCTACTCAACTACCGGGCAGATGTTAGGCATGCAGGCCAGAATGGGGTCAGAACCTAGACTACTTCATACAGTTTTGCCTCGTGTCTATATTTGTGGACCAATTCTGGCATGAATGTTGCAGACCAAAAATGTAGTTGGGCCAGATTTGGGCCACATCCATTAGTTCTACTTACTTTACAGTGTGTGGGCCAGATCTGGGTGAGGACCCAGCCGTATTCTGGGACAGAACAAACACAAGGATGTTGCCCAAAAGTGGGCCAGACATATTTTTCTAATGTGAAGCAAGTCCATTTTAGATTACTTAACTCGATTAATGAATAGATATGGACACAGACTACTGGCCTGCATTTAAATATATATTCCATAAAAATATAGAAACTGTGGTGGCAGTATTACTGGTTCATTTTCAGCAAGGTCAACAATTTTTGTGATGATTTTTTAATGTAAAATTATGTTAAAAAATGAGTATATAGAGGACTTTCTCATTTCATATATTGCTGTTGTCGGAAGAAAACCTCGTATCTCCAAAATGGTAACTTTACAGGAGAAGGAAAAAACCTACTTTACTTTTAATGTAAGTCAATAGAACCAGACATTTTTCCAAGTAATTTTGGGTCATTTCTTTTGGTCCATTTATCATGAAATTTACACACAATGTAAAGGACAACAGGTATTTTCAAATTATGTCAAAAACTGAAAAAACGACAAAAATGGAGATACAAGGTTTCCTTCCGACAGCAGCGATATGGAAAATTCTATACATTTACAGTATCTATTAACATCTTATGCATTTCTCCACTGGAAATGTTCACTACCCAATTCGTTTGTCAAGCCTAAGAGGTTTTAGTTGTAGTCTAGTTTAGTTTAGTCTCATTGTTAACTGCAGGCATTGAATTGTACAAAGTAAATTACAACTATCAACCTATCAGGTTCAACAGAGTTTTAAATAATGAGTCTTTTATTATAAAGAAACCTTCAGTCTGAAGGACAGAACTGAAGCGCTAAATGCAGTATATGCAGTGTCTGAATGCTAGTGTGCTAGCTAGCTAGCGCAATAACTAATTCAGGTGCAGTTTTAGCTTTGAAGCTTTGAAGGAATGTGATTTGTAACTTGCTAAATCTTCAGCTCTGGTAAGTTCAGCTAGACTAGCTATTGTGCTAGCTAACATAGGCCTTACTTGCTATCTAAACTACATGCTTGCCAACCATTTCAAGTTGTTTTGCTTTATCACTAGAAGGTTTTTTTTCGATAACGGCAGGTTCATTTTCTTAAGCCGAATCAAACCTGAAGCTGTGGTGAGCAGCTGGAGAGCAGCATTGCCAATATAATGACCATAGAAATACAGCCGTGCACAGTATCACACGTAAAGATCTGCAGCCCACTAACGTAAAGCTAGAAACAAAAGATTTTTTCAGTTATTAGATTAAGATTGATGGTCCTAATCTAATCAGTTTTGCCAGTCATGCTGAAATGAGTCGCAGATCTCGAGTCCAAATTGAGCTGCGAGTCAGTCAGCGAGTCGGAAAAATGTGAGTCAACATGCAACAGTTCCATCGAACATAGTTGGCTTCATCCAAGCATTGTATTTCATTCAACCAGCAAAGACAGACACAGCAGGCCTCATCACTTTTGACCTGTAGTCACTCTCACTCTCTTTTTTCATTCAATCAGACAGATGGCATCTGTCCATTTTGAATTTAATAGACAGACAGAAGTCTTTTTTTGTGGAAAGAATGTTGTGTGTGTGCGGAGGGGGGTGGGGGTGTTGGAGACCACCAATGAGCTGTTGAGGGAGACTGTGTGAAACAGAAACAGCAGAAAAAAAGAGCCTCCTGACTCCATTATTCTGTGTGAGGGGGTGTGTATTGTATAGTCTCGCACTCCATCACACTCTTAACCCTCACTTCATCTTCACTAAAGACACACAGGAGCCGGTCAAGAGCACAGGAGTCGGGGGGGCTTTGGTTCTTTTTTTGTCCAGCTTTAGTGGGCTCCAGATTGGGGCCCTGGGTCTCTTTTTAAGGTCTTAAAGGGGAATTCTACCATTTTTTCAAAAAAATTCTCCATAAAAGATGTAAACAAAGTCATTCCGAGTAGGTTAAATATAAATGCTCTGTCAGAATCGTTCACAGTGGTGATGATAGGAACCAGACGTCTGAAATGTTTAATGCTTCTAAAAGCTCCCTCACAGAAAGTGAATACATGAAGTGTTTACAAATACGCTGCTTCATGTCTGAGACATTGATTTTCTGATAGTTTTGACATAAGATTTTAGCCTAAAATGTATTTTCAGGGTAAAGAGAGGTGGATACAAGGTGTTAAAAAGCAAGAAGAAACCTTATTTTTTCAGATTTTCTACTATTTTTCCAGGATCAATATTACACATAAAAACTCAAAAGACATGTGTAGGTTAATTGGTGGTTTTGGATAGTAAATAAAATGGCTGTGTTGTGTTTGTGTTGTGGATCCCTGGTTACTATCACCACCACAGTACAGAGCTCCCCTTTAAGGACACAGAAACAAGCAGAATGTCTTCAGCTAACTAAAATATATACGTTGCTCTTCAAAAAATAGGCAAACACAGCATCAGGTCAATGGAAAAGGCAACTGTGATTGATCGAACAGAGCATGAATAATAAGTTGCATTTTTGCTGGCTGAAAAATCTTACGACTGTGTGCAAGATGTCATCAATTATACATAGTTCAAGTCCAAATAAATTGCTACTGCTATATAAGGCCTTTACAATTATAGTTTTGGTAGTAAACTTTTCCCCTATTTATCCAAATGTAGTCAATCAGCTAAAACATGTTGCTTCTTTAGTTTTACACTGAAGCTGTGAGGCTAATGCAGCTAACAAGTCATGGAAGCTTATGTACACCAGTTAGCATCCTGCAAGATTAAAGGAACTAAAAATCTGCACTGTATGACACAGTAGTCCATGTTTATAGATAAAAGTATGTCATAAACCATATTAGCAAGACTATTTGAGATCACTAATCAGTGAGTTGATCAGTTAGTGAGTGATGGTTTAGGCATGGTAGCACAACGCTAATTGGTGGGGTATAAACTTCCATTAGCCTTGTAGCTCCAGTGCAAAAACACGAAGCTAACTTTATACATGAAACAAGTTTTGGCTGTTTGAGGAAATGTATAATTTCGCACTGAACTATCGCTTTAAGTTTCCCATGGGCCTCTTTAGAAAACGAGCATGCTCCCTTCCTCCCTGACCTCCTTTCACTCTTTCAGCAAACACGCTGCCATTATGAAGTCAAATGAGCTTCTTCTGACCATGAAGGGTCAAACCTCAACCCACTTGCATTCACCAGCATTTTGTCACAGCTAATAAGCTGACATGCTATATTGTTGTGGTGGCTAAGCATTCCACACGTCTTTCAGAGCCTAATCTTATAGCTTTTTCTTTTCTTTTCTGTCTGTAAGAGCAGCTGGTACTTGTGGATCACCACACAGAGAGGGAGAGAGAGAGAGAGAGAGAGAGAGAGAGAGAGAGAGAGAGAGAGAGAGAGTGAGAGAGTGAGTGAAAGCGGGGGGATGATGGATTGGAAGGACAGAGAGACCACATGAGAGAGATTTACCTCATGGAGGACAAGAGTCCATTCTTATCACAAGGTCAGTGGGAATTAGAAAGGAAATGAGTTGAGAAAAAGTACATTTTTCACAATCGAGACCAAAAGTTTTCCTTTCAGACATGAAGAGTCTTGTTGGCTGCAGAGTGTATTTGAGTACTGCAGTGTGTAGTTGAGTACTGCAGTGTGTAGTTGAGTACTGCAGTGTGTAGTTGAGTACTGCAGTGTGTAGTTGAGTACTGCAGAGGCGGTATGAGTAGTACAGAATGTATTTAAGTGCTACAGCATGGATTTGAATACTACACTGTGTATTGTGTGTTTCAGTATTACATTTAGTGATGATACGTTCTTGAACGATCCGGTTCTTTTCAACTGCTCTTCTGTAAGAACAAGGGAATCCGAGTCGTTCTCTCTATCGTTGTGCCCAAATTTTACAGCCTACCCTAAACCACTCCACCCCCTACTGAACAGTGAGAACCAGCCAGTCACAAGAGAGAGGTGTTGTCACATTAGGGTCCTAATAGGCAGAATGGGTAGGATTCATTGGTCGCTGAACGTGGCATTTAAAGTTGGCCCTTCTGGCTCCTTGTTTTTTTGTTGTGTCAATGAAATATTAGGTGTTGCAAGAATTGCATTCAAGGCAACTTTATATTCATATTATAATTATTCGTATTCATATTATATTATAATTATAACTTTATATTCAGGGCAACTTTAAATTTACTGACAAAGCAGAGGGATATGGAATCAACTTGTGCAATGTTTACAACACACATCATTGACATTAGGTCTGGCAATATGAGGCAATATGAGTCCTATTCCACACATGTAAAAAAATCTGAATCTGATCTAAATCTTACCCTATCCTAGAGATTATTTTGCAGAGAAACCTAACCCCCGCCCATTAAAAAAGATCTAAGCCATAAGAGCCAGCTGCCTTTAAAGAGCTGTTGTTCCCGTCACTAACTACATTGTGTAATTTAGTGCTACATGGTATTTTCAGTACTACACTGTGTACTACATTTGAGTTCTATAGAGAAGATTTGAGCACTACAGTGTGTATTTCTGTACTGCAGTGTG